CTTGGTCATAGGCAACATAGATCTCCAACCAACAGAATCCGAGGCTGTAGTTTCCCATTGGCTAAGCCAGAACATTGTGTGGTTCATTTGCAGTCCTGACAGCAAATGAATCTGTAAATTTACATCTGTCAAGTTTGCAAGTGGAACAAATTCTGAGGAGCGACCTATGAAAAGGCTGCATTTTTTAAGCCAGAAAAACCTGATTTTTCCTCCCTCTGTTCCCAAGGCTGCCTTTGCAGGTCTTGTATTGCCAATGCAGAATGTTAGATGAAAAACTGGAAGACTCACGCTCGCAGTTGGCTCTTCTATTTCCAAAAGGATGCACAGGTTTTATTGCAGGACCCAGAAGTTCTTTTCCCATCCCGAATCTTTGTCATCCCCAAGCATTAATTTCTCCTGCAGATTTCTCTTCCACCCTTCCTGAATAGCTACAGAGAGTTGGCTGCTTAGATTGGCCTGCTTGGAGCACCCTGACTTCTTCTAGGGTCTCTGATTGTTCTAATCAACCGCAGCAGCATAGAACATGGAACATAGAATAACTGAGTAGGAAGGGACCTAGTGGAAGTCATCTAGTCTAACCTCCTCCTCTCGCAGGTGACTTTCTGCTCAATGGTTGCCCAGTTTCTTCTTAAAAGCCTCCAGTGATGGAGCATCCACAACTTCTGAAGGCAACTTCTGTCCCACTGGTTGATTGTTCTCACCATTAGGAGAGAACAGGGAAGGGATACAAGGCAGAAAGCTCCTTGGTGGCACAGTGGTTAGAGTGCAGTACTGCAGACTACTTCTGCTGGCTGCCAGTAGTTTGGCAGATCGAATCTCACCAGGATCAAGGTTGTCAGTGATGTTTAAATAAATAATAAAAAGCAGTGCCAGGAATAATGTAAGACCAATATTGCCTCCAAGTTGCAGTTTTGCTGAAGAAGGAAGACTAAAGCTAAGTGAGTTGTTTTCTTGACAAGACACTTTCATGGCGAGCTAAGTCGGATTGCAACCTACAGATTGCTGTTGTTGAATGTGATTATCAATTCAGTCTATGGAGATTCTCTCCCATCCAGATCATGGTTGTCCCAAAGGTGTTTTTTCAGGGAGAAACTGGACTTTCTCTTTTATTCGAAAGTTTCTCCATAGACTTTTTAGCTATACACTTTCCAGGAAAATTGCAGACTGCAGGAACCGTTTGCATTTCAGTTGGAGATGCAGACAACACAGGCTCATCCCCAACAGCCTGCGCTTGTCTTCAACAGGGAAGGGACACAAGGCAGAAAGCGCCTTGGTGGCACAGTGGTTAGAGTGCAGGACTGCAGACTTCTTCTGCTGGCTGCCAGTAGTTTGGCAGATCGAATCTCACCAGGATCAAGGTTGACTCAGCCTTCCTTCCGAGGTCAATAAAATGAGGATCCAGATTGTTGGGGGCAAGGGGCCGACTCTGTAAACCGCTTCGAGAGGGCTGTAAAGCACTGAAGCAGTATATAAATCTTATTGTTATTGCTATCCTGCAGCCAAGAAGGCTTCACACCCATTTGCACCCCTCAGGTGACCCTGAGGACACAGATAAAATACTCCAACGACCCTCTAAAAACAATGCAAATGACCAGCTGTCTGCAAGGAATATAAATCCTTCCATTCCCCACCATCCAGGCAGAGCTGAAGAAGTTTCTTAAATGAGAAGCGAAACATCTTCAAAGAAAAACCAGAAAGTCCGGTTGCCTCTTGAAAAAAGCACCTTTGGGATATGGATTCGGTCGTGTCCGGCTCTTGGCTTTTCTCCATTGGGTTGGCTCTCTTCATATCTTCCAGTCTTGTTTGGCTTCTTTTGGGTGTCCAGAACGTAGAGCTTTGAGGGTGTCCAGCCAACCGTCCCGTTTTCTGACCCCCTGGTTTCCTTTTATCACTAAATTCTTCCAAACATAACTGCTATCTCGGAGCAACTGGCGCTGCTCTGTTTCTCTTTCAAATGATCCTGATTTCAAAGCAAGAAAGGGATCTGACGGGTGAAGACTTGTGTATTCAGAACAAACTTATCAGTTCCAATGTTTGCTTCTGCTCCAAAGAGCAATTCCCCCCCCCCTCTCGGTTACGCAGCCACTATGACTATCCGAACAAATATAACAATGCAAGATTAATTTTTCAAAAGAACATGTGTGCATTTTAAGGAGGCGATGTTGGATGTGATGGCTTCACTGCACAGTTCAGTAGAACTGTAAACTCTTGTTAGAAATAAGTTCCTCAATTTAATATTGAAGCAGATGCCGCAGAATGAAAAAGTGTCTCTTTGCATCTGGTCCATTAAGCAAACTTATAGCAAATTCTGCATTCTTATTATTTTTTGTTTGTTTGTTTGTTTGAAGGAAAATGAAATGGAGATACCCGTTTCAAATTGGATGCATTACAATTGGAACCACGTTTGAAATGTAATACAAGATTTTAAAAAAGAGTATTTTTTATTTCATGAAGTTATAGGAAGTGGCAGCGTGGACCTTGCTCGATCCCCCACAGTTGAGCAATAGGCTAGATCAAGAATTGGGGGAAGGAGAGGTGACTTCCCAAAAGAGAGCAGTGAAAAAATACCATTTCTTCCTGGTCAGCAGAAGTCAGCTTGGCTCAACTTGAAAAAGGATTTCTTCTGTCTCCTCAGATAATCTTTTGAACCATGCAATGATGCGGGATTGTAGAACTATAGTTTATTGAAGAATGTAGGTTCTGCATCAGCGGTGAAATTCAAAAATTTTCCTTACCAGTTTGATGGTCATGTGACTGGGTGGGTGTGGCTTGGTCATGTGACGAGTGTGGCTTGGTGGTCATGTGATCCAACTATCACACTTTACACAAAAATAACACAAAAGCTACACAACTGACTCACACACAATGCAAAAGCAGCTCGACTTCATCGAAAATGGCCCCTGCAACAAGCAGGAACCTCACAGAGTCACAGAGAGCTCAAAAACAAATTATCACACTTTACACAAAAATACCAGTTCAGGAAATAGGTACTAAAAAAATGCTTTAAAAAGTTTTAAAAAAAAAAGTTCCAAGAATCAGCTCTGCCACCCTATCATCAGAACTTTTTTTTTAACTTTTTAAAACTGGTCATTATGATTGAAATAAGCCATTTTCTTCCTTAAGATCCCTTCTTAACTATCTCATTCATTTCTGATTCCTGGGGTGAAACCACCATGTCAACCAACAACATTCATCAGCCTGGCCATAATAAAACCTATCCCAACCTTCCCAATTTGTAAATCTTAAAAAAAAAAAAAATGTGGAAAGAAGCAAAGCGGCTGCAGGACTGAATAACCTCTGATCTCCATTTGTTATTTTTCCTGCTTTGTCCTCTTGCAAACAGCAACTCAATTGTGGGGATTAGCAGTTTATGGGAAGAGGAGAAGCTTAGATTCCAGTTGGGTTTTGTGGCATTTCCTGGATTGCTTTTCCTTGCAAAGTAGCTGGATGAAGAGACGTAAGGTAACACGGAGGCAAAAGAAGGAATGATGGTGATTCAGTCCACAGCATGTTCAGTGTGGTTGGTGGGCATTTGTCAAGCATAATTGTCAAGAACAACTTCCCCCTAACCCCTAATCCTGTGCCTGAAGCAGGGGTGAAATCCAGCAGGTTCTAACAGGTTCTGGAGAACCGGTAGCGGAAATTTTGAGTAGTTTGGAGAACCGGCAAATACCACCTCTGACTGGCCACAGAGTGGGGTGGGAATGGAGAGTTTGCAAAATCCTTCCCCCTGGAATGGGGTGGGAATGGAGAGTTTGCAGTATCCTTCCCCTGCCATGCCCACCAAGCCACGCCCACAGAACCGGTAGGGAAAAAATTTAGATTTCACTCCTGGCCTGAAGAGAAAGTGTGTGCCACCTGCTCTAACCTCTGCCAGCAAAACATGGACACTAATCTCACAATTGCTACAAAAGCTACAATACAAAGAGCCACAGCAAAGAGACATGCTCGGCATCGCAAGACAAGATAGAAAGACCTGCACAATGGATTAGAGAACAAACAAAAGTGTAAAATGCCATCAAGAGAGTCAAAAGAATGGAAATGGAAACCGGCTGGTCTCATCGGTTGTTGAGTGACCCTAGAGAATCAAGGCTTATCTAATGAGCGAGCTATAAAAATCACAAATAAATATTCTATATTATGGCACCAGGTTTTGAAGAAGCCATTTCCTCCCCCCCCCAATCTTTAATTTGTAGCCCCCATGCAAAATGTGCTGAAACTAAACTAAAATCTACGAATCCCTTGGAAGACAGTAGATGTACGAAATCAGGAACTGTCTGGTTGGTTAAATAATAATAATAATAATAACAACAACAACAACAACAACAACAACAACAACAACACAGATCTAATCCCCAAAGTGGGCTTTGGAGGTTGAGAACTGTTTAAAAATGACAACAACTCAGATTTATCAATAAATATTTGGAAATGGCAAATATCTAGGGTGGGGTTTTTTGTTTGTTTGGGTTGTTGTTTTTTGGGGAGGGGGTTTGGTCGGGGCTTGGAAACTAAGCACTCTCAGGGCTTGTTAATGTCTGATGAGAAAGCAGAGGGCTGCAGACTAGAATAGAAAGTAAAAAAAAAATTGTTGGAAAAAAGGCAAACTGAAAATCACATTCATAACGTGCTGCCTAGTAAGTGATTTGGGATGGGTTTAAAATGGCATAAGTCCAATTTCTCACTTTTGAGTCAGAATAAGCCAATGTTTCTATGGCAACCTTCATGGAACAACCTCTTCCAGGAGGTGTGTGCTAACCTGTTTAATTTTTATCTTCTTTCTCTTATTATCGGTCTTTTCAAGCAGGAAAGAAGGGTTTGCACAACCTCGCACACTCACGTCCACTTCTGCAAATTGGGAAGCATGGCAGCAGACACCAAGTAAGTATTTGAATAAGGAGCAGCTATGAAAGTAGATTTCACCATTTTGTATCTGGTTGATGGCTCAAGGATCTGGGTTTAGCTTTGGCTACTAAAGATAGTTTCTTCCACCTTCACTCCCTACTCAGAACTCCCTGGCGAGGAGAAGAAGAAGAAAATAAGAAACTGCAAACCTGCTTTCCTGGGACTAACCTAAATAGCTGTCTCTGGACCAAAGAAAAAATTAATTCACATTTCAAGTAGAACCCAATACAGTGGACAGTTTCCCAACGGGGCAATTTTCAGAAGGTTGGATGTGAACTCACAAATTAATCTGCCTTGATTGTTGCTGAGGATTCCGAGAGTTTAAATTCACCCATCTGGAAATGCTCTGCTTTGAGCAATGAACATGCAAAAGATCCAAAGCTCTGGGAATAGACGTTAAAAAGCCCAGTTAAAAAAAACATAGAACTAAAATTCAGGATAAAGAAGACCAAACGAATGAACGAATGAAGAAGCAAGCCTCAGAACTGACAATGAGGATATCAAATGGGTGGGAAATTATTATACTGAGTATTTAGGCAGAAATGAGATTAGTAGTATGTCTGAGTGAGTGACGAGGAGGTCGACCTATTCTCCAAAGCACCCGAAGGCAGGACAAGAAACAATGGATGGAAACTCATCAAGGAGAGAAGCAACCTGGAATTAAGGAGAAACTTCCCAACAGTGAGGACAATCAACCAGTGGAGCAGAAGTTGCCTTCAGAAGTTTTGGGTGCTTCAAAAAGAGAGTGGACAACCATTTGTCTGAAATGGCATAGGTTCTCCTTCTCGAGCAAGGGGTTGGACCAGAAGACCCCTAAGGTTCCTTTTATTCTATGTTCAGTAAGAACCGTCCCACCAATCTCCATGCTTCCAGGAGTTTGGGGGATGAAAATGATGGCAATGTATTTCTGTTTTCATTTTAAATCTGAATTTAACTCTTTTCAGGTTTGCTGTAAATTCTTTGTCGGTAAACAGAAAGTCTTCTGATCCTCTCGCCCACCGGCCGTATCTCACTATCCTCGACTGAGCTAAAAACTATGATGAATACTTGGCCTGGAAACCACTAGAAAATCCCAGAGCCCAAATGGTGCACTTGGAAAGAAGAAAAAAAAAACATTCCAAAAGAAAGCAGGTAGTTGATTGCAGTTGTTTTCCTTGCCAAGGGAAGTTTTACTCTTAGGGTTGTGAAATTAATTGTCCTGCTAGTAAAGATTTGGTAAAGATTCAGGGCGAAAAGAGATTGCCTCACTATTTTTTCCCCCCTCTCCTCTCTATTTTCTTCTTTAAAGGACCTACTACAGAAGGAGCTGTTGTTATCTTTGATACCGGTTATTTATTTTACTGTTATGTATTTAATTTTTCTGGCAGGTTTGTCCAAGTGCTGGACTCAAGGCTGATTACAGGATCCAAGGATGGAAACAGGACAACTTTGGCAGCTGCCCAAGGCAAAGAAGGTTGATTGCAGGGCTCTTTCTTGCTCTCACTATTAGAAAACTCCTCCTTAGTTCTAGGTTGATTCTCTCCTTGGTTAGTTTCCATCTGTTGTTTCTTGTCTTTAATGCCCTGGAGATAAAGTGACAGAAAAAAGGAAAGCAGTTTGTTTCCCCACTGAAAAGCAAAGGAAAAAAAAATATGGCTACTTACAATACATTGAGAAGAGAAGAGAAGAGAAGAGAAGAGAAGAGAAGAGAAGAGAAGAGAGAAGAGAGAAGAGAAGAGAAGAGAAGAGAAGAATTATTTATTGGCCAAGTATGATTGGACACACAAGAAATTTGTCTCTGGTGCATAAGCTCTCAGTGTACATAAAGGATATAAATGATAAATCATGATAATTGTCTATGCTACTTACAATAACTTCATTTGGAATAGAAGAGAAGAGAAGAGAAGACAAGAGAAGACAAGAGAGAATAAAATAGAGAAGAGAAGAGAATTAGAAGAGAAGAGAACAGAGCAGAACAGAACAGAACAGAACAGAACAGAACAGAACAGAACAGAACAGAATAGAATAGAATAGAATAGAATAGAATAGAATAGAATAGAATAGAATTCTTTATTGGCCAAGTGTGATTGAACCAGACACAAGAAATTTGTCTCTGGTGCATAAGCTCTCAGTGTACATAAAAGATATAAGTGATAAATCACGATCATCGTCTATGGCTACTTACAATACTTCATTTAGAAGAGAAGAGAGTAGAGTAGAGTAGAGTAGAGTAGAGTAGAATTCTTTATTGGCCAAGTGTGATTGGGCACAGAAGAAATTTGTCTTCGGTGCATAAGCTCTCAGTGTACATAAAAGCTGTAAGTGATAAACCATGATCATCATCATCATAAAAATACACTCATCATGAATCATAAGATACAACACTTAGTGATAATTATAGGATACTAAATAAGCAATCAACATAAATCGTACTAGGAAATGAAATAAAATAATATAAATCGTAAAGATACAAGCAGGAAGGTTATAGCCATAAGTAGAAAAGGAGGAGATAGCTCATAGGAAGGATGAGAAGAGTAATAGTAATACAGTTTTAGTAAATAGCTTGACTGTATTGTGGGGATGAGTTGTTTAGCAGAGTGATGGCAGGCAGGGGGAAATTTTAGCAACCATTCAAAACTGCAATGGTACTGAAAAAGGGGACTTATGACCATTTTTCACACTTACAACCATTGCAGCAGCATCCTCAGGGTCATGTAATCAAAATTTGTATTTATGACGGCCATGGGGTCATGGGATCCCTTTTTGCGACCTTCTGACAAGCAAAGTCAATGAGGAAACCAGATTCACTTAACAACCGTGGCAAGGAAGGTCGTAAAATGAGGCAAAATTCACTGAACAAATGTCTCCCTTAGCAACAGAAATTTGGGGCTCAATTGTGGTCGTAAGTCCAGAACCACCTGTATTTCAGTTGCAAACTACTAAAATTATGCATACAATTTAATTCGTTTTTCTATAGATAAAAGATCAAGGTAGCTATTATTTTGAACAGTCGGTCAGAATATCAATTTATCATTTTTAAAACAATTTCTATCCTGGAAAATAGAAAGCTGTTTACAGCCACTTTCTCCAAAGAGCAAAAACCAAGAGGAATAAATGCAGCTGGGTGTAAGATGGGCTTTGGGTGGGAGTTACGAGATTTATAATCCAAATATACGTGGAAGGAAGGCATCAGGCTGGGATACATTTGGTGATTGAGAAGCTCCCAAACAGAAACCTATAAGAGCCTGATAGAATGACAGAATAATTGCATTAATTAATGTGATCTCCAGTCAGAGATTAAACAGTTTTTAACAGTAAATGCATCACTGAACTGAGTGACAAGTTTCCGACAGTGGATCACACTGAAAGGAAACCCAGATTTAAAGACCTCAAACCAACAATGTTTGTGAGTCTATCTGGAACTAGAAAAATGAATCCCAACCTTGATGGTTCCTTCCTTCTCTTAAGACTGCTTATTGGACCAAGCTTGGAAAAGAATATGGGAAGACATTTGCAAGTTCCCGCAACTCCTACTCTCTACCTTGAGTGGGTTTTTAAACTGATTTTATTCTGGCTTTCTGAGATTTTATTCTGGCTTCCTTCTTTTATTTTCAAGCTAGCAGGCTTAGGCAAATTGGGAGATTCATTTTCTTTAGCTCATGGTGGTCTTCTCAGCCCCAACACCCAATACAGCTGTGAAAGGACAATGGACAATGATTAGAAGTTGTAACACTTTGTTTCCCAACTTCCATATTGACAAGCATGCTGCAGCCAGATTCAAAGAAATGGGGGGGGGGAGAGAATGAGTCAGTGCCCCACTGTACTAAATTTAATTAAAATTGATTTCCTTGGCAAAGCCAAAAGTTATGACTTATCAAAGGGTGATGTTTTATCTCTCGAAGATAAAATAAGTCTCTGGAATTAAGGAGAGGCTGCATTGCAGAAACTGGTGGAAAACGACAGGGAGATATAGGTCAACGGGAATTTAACCCTTTGACAGATGCACAGTTTTAGAAATGTGGAAGTTTTTAAGAAGAGACTGGACAACCATCTGTCTGGAATGGTATAGGGCTTCCTGCATGCTCAGGGGGTTGGACTAGAAGACCTCCAAGGTCCCTGCCAACTCTGTTACTCTATTCTGTTAAGTGCAACCTATAGTGGTGTCTGCAGGCCACACATAGCCATGTTAGATCCAGTTAACCGAGTTGCCTGCCTATAGTAGGATAGGATAGGATAGAATAGAATAGAATAGGATAGGATAGGATAGGATAAGAATAGAATAGAATATAGAATAGAATAGAATAGAATAGAATAGAATAGAATAGAATAGAATAGAATAGAATAGAACAGAACAGAACAGAACAGAACAGAACAGAACAGAACAGAACAGAACAGAACAGAATTCTTTATTGCCAAGTGTGATTGGACACACAAGGAATTTGTCTTGGTGCAGAAGCTCCCAGTGTACATAAAAAGACAAGATACGTTCATCAAGAATCATAAGGTACAACGCTTAATGATAGTCATAGGGTACAAATAAGCAATCAGGATATAGGCTGAATTCACTGAATCACATCTTAACTAATCCAACTTTTGGAGGTTCCCATTTCATACTGAACACAAAGAGGAGCTCATAGGGCAGCCTAAGCTACAATGGGAGAAATTCAGTTTGTGGTTGAGTCAATCATGAGAAATCAGCCAAGGCCAAGGCAACTTGGTCAAAGCCAAGTTTAAAAACATCCAAGGAAGATATCTGCTGGATTTGGGGCTTAGGGAAGACAAAATTTAAATTCCAGAAGGCAATCGTGGCAAACCATTCCTGTGTTTTTGCACGGAACGCGTCCACAAAAAATCACTACAAAATGCAAACTCCACTTGAAGGAGGTTTATCCGAACGTTGTACTTTTGCAATATTGATGAAATACTTCTCTTCTCTCTTTTCCCCACTTTAGGTGGGGGGAAAAAATATCAACATTTAAACATTTATGAAAGCTGCTTAACATCTAAGGGCTGGCACATGTGCTATAAAAATCATAAAACAATATATAAAATGCATATCCTCTCTCCAAAACAGACCGGGTGCTTATTAAAATAGGACACGGGGAAAGAGACAATTAAAATTTTATCCCACTTGGGTCAAAAGTAGCGTCAGGCGGAAAGTACAGGCTCCAAAAAAAAAAAACCTCTCCCGATTAAGGAGTTGGGGTTTGTCAAAGAAATCTCTCGAATTACTATGTTAATACGAGTCGAAAGGGTCTCCACTATAATGAAGCTCAGCTTTCATTATACTGGGCAGGATTAGAAATGAGTTCAAAATGGAGGGTAATATAAATGATTGAAACATTAGCTGAATTACGTTTCCTCCGAAAGGCAGAGATGTTTATTCCGGCTTTAAGGTCTAATTTTAGTTTCAACCGTCGCAGCTGAATTGCTCTCTGAACTCAAGATCACTCCAAATGTCGCATTTGAGGGACATTTCCCCCTCTCTTGTGGGGATGGAAAAGCATTTTGCACACTGGTGACGTGTCCCCTTCCCCCTAACTCACCCCCCCATCCTGAGTTTCTCTGCCCTATATTTTCAGACAAGACATTCCAAGGAGTTGAAAAGGCTCTCCTTTTACAGGAGTGGCCAAAATTGTGGAAACCTTTTGGGAAAAGGGTATTTTCTAAAACTAATAACACCACTTTTTTTTTTTTTTTGGAGTAGTACCATAAAATTCTATATCAATGGAAAGATAATTTAATCAAGAATGTCATGCAATAACTTTCATGAAGGATTTGCTATTAGAACAGCAGTTACAGTATAAGGAAGAAAAGCGAAACACGTAGAAAAAACAAGATATACAAAAATGATCTCCATGTCAGTTCATACTTCGTTGGGTAACCTTTAGCATGAATGATGGCCTTACAACGTCTTCCCATGGAGGGAACCAAGTCTTTGAGTTCTGCAGCTGTTATCATGTGAAGCCAAGATGGAATGATGGCTTCTATTAACTGGGTTTTATTGCTGGGTCGCTTCTGACTAACCAGTTTCTTTAGTTGGCTCCATAGATTTTCAGTTGGGTTAAGAAGGTCTGGGTTATTCCCAGGCCATTCCAGCAGTGGAATAAGATTCTCTTGAAACACCACAAAAAAAAAAAAAGTGGTGTTATTAGCCATCAAACCTCAAAAATACACTTTTCCCAAAAGGTTTCCACAATTTCGGCCACTACTGTATGTCCTCTGAGTTGCGACGTTCACGTGAACTTTTATTCAGAATAAAAAAAGGGATGTGCAAGAAAAAAAATATATATTGGACCAAAATACACACATGGCTAGAAAAAAATGATAAAGCAACATATTGATTTTAAACCAGAAATATTTCTCTTGGGTATTTTACCAGAACTGTATAATAAAGGGAATATGTATCTAATCTTACATGTGTAAGGAAGTGGAACGGTGGAAAAATGAAGAGATCCCTTCAGATGACTGTGTTATTTAAAAAATATATTAGAATGTGCAGATGGACAGATTAACACTAAAAATAAAGGAGAAGGAAGAAACAGAATATTTTTTTAATGTGGGATTTGTTTTACCAATGAAACAGAGGTTAGGAACTAAAAAGATTAAGAGAATGATTAACTATATAATAAAAGGGGTGAGCTCCTGTTCCTTGTCCCAGCTTCTGCCAACCTAGCAGTTTGAAAGCAGGTAAAGCAGGTATGGATAAGCGAATGCTAATATTACATTTGTCTGAAGTGGTATAGAGTTTCCTGCCTAAGCAGGGGGTTGGACTAGAAGACCTCCAAGGGTCCCTTCCAACTCTCTTATTCTATTCTATTCTCTCTCTATATATTTAATTCAACA